TCAAGAATCCAGGTGTATGCTGAAAACATTTTTGATAATTGCAAGCCTTAACCCCCATGCTTTGGCTAAGCGTTCATCTGAACTAGAGGTATCAACACTAATCTACCTAGTCCAAGTAAGAAATGAAAACCTGATACGGATCGATTACAGACCATGGAGTAGTGCGTAACGATCTCACCTTCAGCCAATATAGCTGCCAAATCTGGCCTGTGCGGAGAATCGGACGCGAGAGACTGTGGGCCTGATGCCCCTTCAAGGCTCGAGATAGGATGAGGTGTTAACGAGGACATGGCCATAGGATCAGCGTTTCTCTCCAGCCGCGTCGAGAGAATGGCAGCCTTGTGGATTGGAAGTGAGCTATTAATCACTTCTGGAGGAAACTGAAATACCGTAATAGTTCATTTCGACAGAGCAAAAATATTCACAACTTGGATTGATAGCGACCTTGTTTATGTATCCTGGATCCCATATGTAGATATAGTAGACACTAAGAGATACTGCCGGTAGGGAGACGAAGAAAATATATCCAAGTACAGTGACGAACCGAATCCATCTGAAGAGATCTGATTTGATGGCAAGAGAACCACATGAAAGTAGGCCACTTTTCACCACTTGTTTAGAACAATAATTTCAACTCAAACGCCTCTCAAAGTGCACGCCTTCAACGCCTCGACGATTACCGTGCTAATTCAAAATAAAAAAAACACAGACCCTGTGCTGGTTTGGTGATCGTCCCACAAGGACTCAAAGCGGTAGGATGCTAATCAGGTCTCTATATCAATAACAGAAATGAACCAATCGGCGGTAGTCACTAACTTTGGGATGCGCCGCGCTGTCTGACGAATTCTCTCCAAAATCACTGGAACTCAAGTTGAATTCTTCTGTGCCGTACAGGTTTTTTACAAAAGCTTTTATTAAGCCGACGTTTCGACTAATTCGTCGTCTTCAAAGGCCTGAAGGAAGCATATCGAAGATTTTCAAATAGGAATTATCCCTCTTCAACGCTGACTTGCTCCTAACTAGTCACAACTCAAACAAAAGGTTCAAACAGAGTTGAATCCAACATTGGTCACTCACCTTGGCTTCCACCACCACCCTAGCCTCTCCGCGCCGAAATATAGTAAGAAATGAGACTGACCGATCACTGTACTCCCTACCATGGTGCGTACGTGCACTGTGTCACTTTCTTTTGATCAGAGCTCACATAGTGGAGAGTTTGAGAGGGATAATTCCTATTTAGAAAAGATTCGATATGCTCTCTTCAGGCCTTTGAAGAAGACGAATTAGTCGAAACGTCGGCTTAAAGGAATCTTCCACGGACCATGGACCAGTGGGCGGGACCGGAAGTTTTTGTGACGAAATGCATGGTAGGTACGGATCCACGTGTCGAACGCACGAACGTGAACAGGATTCACTTCAAACCTTCCCATGAACGTGGATCCGTACCTACCATGCATTTCGTCGCAAAACCACTTCCGGTCCCGCCCACTGGTCCATGGTCCGTGGAAGATTCCTTTAATGTTTTAAAAAAAATGTACGGCACAGAAGAATTGAAATCATGATTCTATTTCAGCCATAAATCACTGGCTTGAGACTCATTATCCACGATAATAGTGAAAAGAACTGAAGTATTGCTTTCGTTTTGATTAGAAATTCGAAAACTCGAAAAGGCTGCTACGCGTTCGAATTGCCCACGGACGTCTTTCACGAATGCTGGCGACGGGGATGCTCAAACTTGGTTCTTGGAGTGCATTCACTAGAAGCTCTTTCTGGCCTTCTGCTTCGTTGCATTCACATCTTACACTTCTACTCCATCCTATTCCATCGATCGATTTGTCTCCACTCTCCGAAATCGCGCGCTTTAACCCGATTCTCTCATTGCGTCGCCTGGTACGTAGCCGGCCAAACGCCGTCTTCTTTCCATGCCTCGCCTGGCTCTGCCTCCTGGTCCTTCGATGGTCCATAACGTGTAGTTTTTGTACGTTTGTTTCTCTTCAGAAACCGAATCTTCATGCGTGAAACTTTGTGTGCTATTTCCAGTGATCACAACTGACATATTCATGTTAGGAAAGAGTGCAAGAATTTTCCGCGCAAGATTCCTTTAAATGAAAGCTTTTGAAAAAAACCTGTACGGCACAGAAGAATTCAACTGATATCTGAAAATGCCAAGGTTTCAAGAAAGGCCAACTCGGAGAATATCAAAGAACAGCTTTTCTCGGAGCGTCGGCAATGCTTGAAGGAGAAGTTCAGCTAATAGGTATAAATTTTTGGGTACGTTTGGTTAGAATATAAGGGCGACATAATTTAAGCTCTTCGATAGACAACATACTTCGACGTAAATATAGCACCTCAAAAGAAGGGTAAGAAGTAAGCTTTCCCAACCTTATGGCTGTATCACAGTACAAATAAAAAGCCTTAGCTCAACAAAAACAGTACAGAATTTTCTTGTTTTGTCTCGTATAACTTCGCTAAAGCTTTCAGCCTCGCGGTCATTGCCGATATCGGCTAACCGGCTCAACACGTTAGACGTGTGAGTGCTGAAAGCTATGGTACGTATACCATGAAAAGCTGAGTTGGAATGAAATGGTGCCCCGGTAGCGTAACTGGTAGCGCACTTGCCCGGAAAGCGAGAGGTGCGGGTTCTAGTCCCGCCTGGGGCGAAAGTTTTGTTCACAACCCAGCATTCTTGTGAAATAAATTCTCTTTGCTACATTGAGAGACAAATAAGAAAAAAAATGCTGGGATTACCAAAACTAGCATTTGTTGTTGGTTTGCAAGAGCTGATGATGAATAACTTTGCGCGCCTCAGCGAGGACCAGCAAAAGACAGCTTTGATTCAAGCAGGTCTTGATGAGGCTACAGGACAGCTCAGTACCTATAGCGACAATGATATTCATATTAAGCCATCAATAAGGAAGTAATGTAGTGGCAAGTGGCGCTGCTTACTACGCGAGCGGCCCGCGGATCAAATCCTGGGTCGTGAGTCGCCCGGGCCAACCAAGCCTTCCCTCCGGGGTCGGTTAATTGGTACCAGACTTGCCTGGGAGGATAAAAACACTGACTTGCTCACTATCACTACTATTATAATACATGTGCTCGGCTGGACCCGGCAAGTCCAAATGGGCCAAATCGCATTCAACTTGCCACAACGATTCTGAATGGAAGTAAAACGCGTGGCGCACTCCAAAACGGGAATGATCAGCATCGCTAATGCTTAAAGATATTTTATGACCTTCGCTGAGCAATATATAGCGAATATAAATTATCTATCATTATAACAATTAATGGGGATTAAAAAATAGATTTCCAGAAAACAAAACAGTAATTTATCGGGAAGAACTCACTTTTTATTCTCTCGTTGAGCAAATTTGGCTCGTTTATCTGAAGTATAAACTGGTTGCTTCGTTCGACTGCGCAGTCGTGCAGAATAATTGCCCGTGCAATTATTCATGATATCTAAAAGCTATTCGTACATCAGTGAGTATAAAATAATTATAAGAATCTGCCTTTTCAATAAGCATCGTCATTCATTAGCGATGATGATGGAGTGTTCATAGAATAGAATGGATGGCACCAGTGAAAATGAAGGTGATGAGCGGAGAGGAGCAGCGATTGCCTCCGGCTCGGCATCGATTGCCGCTTCCCTGACTCTCCGTCTGCACCTCGGTCCCTCGCCCTTACGGCCCCTCGTGTAACAACTTATATCTCGCCAATGGGGTTCGCTCCACGAAAACAACCACAAAACGAGTGCAGCTGCGTGCGCAGCTGATCTTCACTGGGAATTGGTTCTTCCCCACTTCTTAGCCCTGAATTTTTCTGAACCTTGACGCCTTAGCTTTCATTCATACACGCGAGACTTTAAGTTGGAGGAAATCGCTGCTGTTGATGAATTCATACTGATCTCTCAGTCTGAGTCAAATATGATAACAAGATCTTTTTCCATCGCGGCCAGTACTCCTTACTCCCTCCCCCTCCAACCGGATCCAGGAGACTTTCCCTTCGAAGCATGTGCCAATAAATGAACGGTAGATTTCCTCAGAGTTTTTTTGTAGATCATGACACCACCTGTATACCCATAATTTCAAAAAAGCATTCTCCAACGTTTTTTCCTCCAATGCGACTCTCCCATGGTGTCAAACCTATCGAGGATTCTCTGATGAACGCTTGCATGGAGGTGCTTCTAGATTGTGTCAAACTACTTCGAATCACGGCCTAACGTGCTAACGAATGTCAAATTATACCTTGTCCACCACCCATAAGGCTGCATCTGGTAGCGCGTACGTCAACAAGCCCCGACTGGGACGGAATATAATGTCCGACTCTCGAGACTAGAAGAGATCATCTCCGATATGCCCATCCTGCACGACTTTCTGGCATCAAACGGCCCTCACGGCTGCTCCTGAGACATAACCAAGCCTCGAGATTCCTCTACCTTGCACTTTTTGTATTAGATAATTGAACGCAACAGGCGAGAAAGGCAACAGAATGCAGAGACGCCCTGATCATCAAAGATATAGCAAGGCCATGAACTAACCAGGAAGGTCTTTCAGGGCGTGACAAGCTTTTTGAAAACGGTCTTTTGCATGATATAGGGGCAGATGCGGGGACCACAGAACCATGTTTAATTTTTCCTGAACGGCCCTCTGAATACCAGAAAAGGGGGTCCCTAGTTCGATTCCTCTTGGTGACAAATTTTTGCATTTCGAGTTGACGTTCCAAAATTCGCGCAAAATGGAGTTCTGATTGTTCTGGTTGGTTCTAACTCCATTTTGCGCGAATTTTGGCACGTCAACTCGAAATGCAAAAATTTGTTACCACGAGGAATCGAACTAGGGACCTCCTTTTCTGGTATTCAGAGGGCCGTTCAGGAAAAATTGAACATGGTTCTGTGGTTCCCGCATCTGCCCCTATATCATGCAAAAGACCGTTTTCAAAAAGCTTGTCACGCCCTGAAAGACCTTCCTGGTAGCCTGATTTTTCTCGGCTGCACAGGGTTTTCAGACTCGTCTGTGAGGATTCTCTAGGGATGAAAGTCCTGACTTGCATCGGTTACCACTTCATCCCAACTCGGCTTCCATTGTGAGAGTTTGCCATAAGCCTAGGCCCACTCAAAACGCATAACGGATGAATCGCGGGGTACCGCTCAGCAGTAAACCCGCAGAGCTGAGCACTCTACGTCAATTAGGTTGATGCATAATTATTGCGGCTTTTTTTCGCGCGTTCTTTTCTCGAGAAGATTGGCGTTTGAGTTTCTTTTTTTCATGAGAATATTCTTCTTTCTTCCATTAACAGAAATGCTTATCGGAAATTGTCCTCATCTTCACCACACATGCTTACTACTTCTATAAATGTTAGAAGGCGGCGGGGCCATTCCGCGATCTCATCAAACTTCTCAGCGAGGGAGCAATTAGCAAAACCCAAGACGAAGGATCGTTCAAGAAGTTTAAAACGCCACATCTACCGAGCGGAGCTCCTACAGACTAGCAATTCAATCAGACGTTGAAAAACTGGCAAACGAACAAATTTTAGGATGAGCTGGATGCGTTGGTGGCCAGTGTTAGAGCGTGGATCGTCTCCGAGAATCGTGACTTTTTTATCCGTGGAATCACCGAGAGAAAAGCAAATGGGAAGCATTCTTGTGGGATGGTGACCACGCTCCGGGGTTATTATTTAAACATGTTTTTGTTGAATAATTTTGTCGTTTTCGCTGAATAAAATCTGTTGGAAAAAGCCGCAATAATTATGCATCAACCCAATGATGCTTGTTGGCATGAC